CAAGAATGTGAGGTCCCGTCCAACAACCACAAACCATTCCCTAAGTGTAGATGTCCTTTGGAGACTTTTGGCTTGAAGCAGCACCAAGACCAGGCATTGGCTCAGCAGTCATTTTCTGAGAACACGAAATCAAACCTGGGTGTTCACAAACAAGCCTAAATTGAAGAAACAGCAGGTGTTGCTCAAGGGAAGGGAGACCTTTTGGAGCACAAACAATTTCATCAAGAGTCTGTCAGATAGAGGACCCCAGGACTCCATGTGTGCCCTGCTATGACTCAGTTTTGCTTTGCTCTGGTCATGCCCCACTCCTCTTTCACAAAGAGAATGTTTACTCTGAGCCTTTGTGTACTAAAGTATGTGAACTCTTTTATTTTTTAACAGATGTTTACAGTTAAGAGATTTCTTTTACTTTGGACTTTGGATCATCATCGCTAGTGTTGACACTATGAGAACTTTGGACATAGGAGTACATGCATTTTGAACTACATGTACTTATCTATTATGTCAAAAGTTTTGGTTTGAACAGAAACTATGTACTGTGAGCTGGTATGGTTTGAACGTAAAATACACCCTGTAGGTGCATGTGGTTGAATATTGATCCACAGCTGGTTGTGTTGTTTGCAAAAGCTGTGGGAAATTTAGGAAGCCTTGATGGATAGAAGTTGAGGGAGTGCCTGCAGAGAATCCAGACACAAATGGTACAAATTAAAAGAGATCAATTACATATTCTCAATGATTTAAAAAATTATTGGATGATACTAACTGGTTACGACTTGCCATTGGGTTATCTATTTAAGAATTAAGTCATTTGTTTCAAATTTTTGCAAGATGTCGCAGATTTAAACAGTACAATAAAATTAACAGCTGAGGCAGAAAGGGAATTAGCCTAAGTAGAACAAAACTTACAAAATGCCTATGTGAGTTGATTAGATCTCACAATTGTATGTATGTTCATAATTGTACCTTCCAATCATTCCCCTACTGGAGTCCTTATGCATAGGGTAATTAATATTTTGGAATAAATTTTCCTATCTCACAGACAAAGTAAAAAGTTAAAGACCAATAAAAAAATGTTTCTTCCTCAATTGTTGTGAATGAATCCAGCTGAGATTGTGGTACCCTATATTGATGCTGAAATTGTGCGATTATGGTTATTAATGTTGATTGGCAGAGCTTATAGTAATTTCTTAGGAGCAATTAATGACAAATATCCAAAAAGAGAGCAACTTCAATTAATTAAACCAACTGGTTAGATTCTTCCCCTCATAATAAAAAGAACAACTATTTCTGGGACTGTGACATTTTATCCTGATGGAAGTAAATTAGGAATGGCTGCTTATAAAGCAGGAAACTAGTAAGTATTTCAAAGTCTATATGATTTACTTGAAAAAATCAGGGTCATATGCCTTCTGATGGTTTTGTTAAACTTTAATAAATGTCCTAATATAATTATTGATTCTCAATATGCAGAAAGGGTCGTATTGCACAAAAAAGTACTGAATTTATTCCTGGTAATTCAAATTAACTTTATTATTTGTACAATTAGACCTGCAATCCAAAAAAGGAATTTACCATTTTATATTGCCAATGTTTGTTCTCATACTGGGTTGCCTGGGATATTAGCAAAAGAAAATAAATAGATTAACCAATTACTGAGAGGAAATGTGTTGGAGATTTTAGAATTTTAGAAGAAACATCATATTATTAGTAGGGACTTAAGGAAAAAATTTTTTCTAATACTTGGCAACAAGGTAAGGAAATTTTAAAAAACTGTTCTGCTTGTTCTTTGTATAATCAAGTTTCTTCATCTGGAGGAACTAATCCTAAACGTACATAAAGAAATGAAATTTGACAAATAGATATATTTTGTTTAGAAGAATTTGGAAAATTAAAATATATTCATTATATAATTGATATATACTCTGGATTACAATGAGCATCTGCCTTAAGCTCTGAAAAAGTTTGATTTTATAATTACATATTTATTAAAAACAATTGGTGTAATTGGCATACTGATAAAAGTTAAAATTGATAATGACTCATCTTATGTTTCCAATGAAATGTAGCAATTTTTTTGGGCTTTACTAACTTAAAAAATTTTAAAAAGCTAATGAAACAGGGACAGCATCTGCTGAAAGACATTGGATTGTGGAAAAACCTGCTAAATTTAGTCAGCCCATTTGTTATAAGTGTTTTCACATCAAAATAGAAACCAGCGAAAGTGGTAAGACAGGGCTAAGAGTATGCTTATGTTTTCATTGGAGATAAAAGATTGTGGACCCCATAGAAATTGACAAAAAAATCTGCCATGAACAAGAGGAGTCTCTTGGATTCCTTGGCTGAGATGCCTCTGGGAAATAAAAAATGCAGAAGGCCTTTACAGCAGACAGCTAATCCTCCCACCTGAGGACAGCTTAAAAACTGGTGTGACAAAGGGGAGGTGATAACTCAAATGCCTCAGAGACCTCTAAATGCTACAACTTTGTTCCTTGCTATGCTGTCTGTGGTAACTACACAGGTAATGGGGACTGGTCATACTTACTGGGCCTTTATCCCTAATCCTCCAATTAACTTACACGAAAGTTGGGGAGTTATGAATATTCCTATGATGGTTAATGAATCTTCTTGGCTACCTGGTCCTTATGACAACCGAGGTCCTGCTCAGCCAATGAAAGAGGGTAAAGAGATTAAAAATTATACTGTGGGAGTACAAGGAGTTCCTATTTGTATGAGAAATGGAATTCAATGTCTAAATATAATCTTTCAAGTGTAGCTATCTATAATCAATACTACCCAGGATTACCATAGTAAGTTTTAGTTGCTTCATGCATTTGGTTTTGAAGGACAGGAGATTAGTGTCACTAGTTCCATAAATCTACTCTTCCGTGAGATGAGGGTTACCAACATGGAATCTGACTGGGTGCACTGGCAAAAATGTGAGAGAAATCTTGAGTGCTAATCAATATCTCCCATAGAGACATCATTGATTTATGGCTTCCCTCAAATAAAATATTCTCATTCAAAGTTAAGAGGGCAGCAGCAGTATGGTTTGAGTGGAACTGTAGATATTAGTTCTTCTGTTAATGAATCTATTCAATGGCGTGGAGATGGAACGTCAGATCCTATCCTGCAATTTGGCTATTTAACTCAGACTAACTTGTGGAAATTAGCAAACGCCTTCCACCCTTAAAGCGTGGGAAGGAAAGTTAAACATTAAGGATGATAAATATACTTGGTGATAAGACTCCACCAAAGCCTGTTCCAAAGACCATTGACAATCAACGAGTCCATGATGAAACCACAGTAGACCCCAATGATGAAGAGGTCACTTATAATGAAGCTACTGATGAATTTGCTTCCTACTTCAACAGACAGACATCCCCTAAGATTTTCATCACAACATCAGATATACATCATGGGAGAACAGTACAACTCTGTGAACAGCTCTCAACAGTTTTACCAGATGCGCATGTTTATTACAGAAGAGACTGGCTCTGAAAAAAATTATTCCACAGTGCATTGCAAGAGATTTCACAGGCCTGATGGTTATTAAAAAACTATCAGGAATAACAAATGGTCTTATTTTGAGTTACTTGCCAAATTGTCTGACTGCTCATTTTAAAATGAGTAGTGTTTTCTCTTATTTTCTTTACAAAGACGAACACTACTCATTTTAAAATGCCTGGTTTATTCCAAGAGGCATTTGGTTCTTTAATTGCTCTGAGTAGGGGTTTCTTCTAAGATGGCAGGAAAGGTCTGAACTGAATTTGCTGTGCTGCATGAGCCCCCTCTGGGAGTTTCCCGAGGACACAGGCAAAGGATTACCTTGTCTGTCTTTTGTTGATCTCCATTCCTTGGTCCAATGTTTACACTTACCACACACCTTCTGCATAATCCAGAAGGGAGGGGCCTTGTGTTGCCCTTGTTCCTGGAATAATCATTCTTTCTTGGAACCCCCTTTTTACACTCCCTTTTCAAATGACCTTGTTTTCCACACCCAAAACATCTGACATTCCTCAAACATTTGAAATTGCTTCTCCTATCCACATATCATGGTCATGAGACTCAACATTAATTGTGTCCCTGATCCAATCCTCCAAGTGTTCAGATTTTGCATTTAATGGACTGATTATTCTTTTTGCTAGCTGCAATAATCAGTCTAACCATTCGATGTGTTCTTCTTAATATTCTTTCAGTGAGCTTCTGTACCAGGATCATCATAGGTGAGTTTTGCCATGGCCTCAACAACCTCACCAGTATCCCAATTGTTGGCCTTGCTTTTATTGATTCTATGTGGATTTCACATCATGCATTCTATCCCACTCATTGCCCTGTGACTTCTCATCTGCCCTCTTCCCTTGCAACATCTCCCCACAAAACAAAACTGAATTTAAAAGAAACACTGAAACCAAACCAAACAAAGAAATAAAACAAAAACCAAACAAAACATAAAAACAAAAGTAGAAGAATCTTTTCATGGAAGCTGTATTGTCTTAACACACAATAGATGGGAGATCAGAACACCAGAATGCCAAAGATGTGTGGATAGTAAAGACTACTATTTCACTGTGGACTGTAGCATTTCAAATGTGAACGATTTGTTGATCCAGAAACCACTTGTGTTAGTAAGGCTTGACTCAAAAGTAACGGGCTAATTAATCTGGGACAGGAAATTTCAATGTGACACCATGTTTCTGGACCACAGACTCCACTGTGTGAAACAGCATGCATCTGAAAGTCCTTTCAAAGAGAGAGCTGCAGGGTGCTGTACTCAAAGGTGCTTGCCTATGGATGTGTTTTCTTAGATTCAGACACTAAGAGGCCACTGTAGCCTTGGTCAAACAGGCTCTGACTACTGCTGGAATTTTCAGCAGAACCTGGCATCATTCACATAATGCTAGTTTTCCAGGCACAGATAATGCAGGTGTTCTGGAATCATGGAGGCTTTTTACCTAGAATTTAAAGAAAGCCTGTGAACTCAGAGTAATGTGTAGCCGGGATAGATTCCCTGTAAGGAGCCTCTGAAAGAGTGATACATGAGGCTATGATGGTGAAGCACTGGCTGGAATATGAACCCTCAGTATTGGAGGTGCTAAGAACATGAGAACACCTGCAGAGGAGAATTGCAGCCAACAACTGCATACACTGAAGAGTGAGGCCACAGAAGCCAAAAATAATAATACCATCGTTATAGGGCGGCCCAACCCAGTTAGAACCTACTGCACACGGAGGCCAAGGGCTTTCTTTATGTACATTATCTTCTTTCATTCTTGCCTTCTGTAAGATCATGCAATACTCATCTTGGCCCCAATTTATATATGAGCACAAGTTTTGGGTGCAAGGCTCTCAGGTATTCTGCTGGAGTCTAGAGAGACCAGTCAGATAATCAGTAAGTTAATGAACAACCACAGTCAGCAGGGAGAGGTGCCCTGAACCAGTATGCAACTCTCTCTGCTAGGTGGAGATTCCCCAGGAAGTGTAGCCTGAGGCAAGAAGAAGTTGTTGAGAAACTACATTACAGGGAGTGGGATGAGCTGCCAGAAGGAACAGACCTGGAAGAACCTTGATATAGATGCTGGGATTTCAGTTGATGGTAAAAGATGGTTCTCTCCCCCATTATGCCTTTAACAAACTTTCTTTTTTTTACAACCCAGCTACCGTTTCCCCTCCCTCCTTTCCTCCCAGTCCATCCCTGTAACCTCCCTCTCTTCCCCCTACCCAATCCACTCCTCCTCCATTTCTGTTTAGGAAAGGGTAGCCATCCCATGAATATCAGCAAAGCATGACATGTGGAGTTGCCCTAAGACTCAGCACCTCCCCATATATTAAGGCTGAACAATGAGGTGTAGGGTCCCCAAAGCAGTAAAAGAGCCAGCTTCCCTCTTTCTGTCCCTCCCTCCATGTGCTCCTCTCTCCCCTTTTCTCTTATACAGTACAGTGATTAATTGTTCCACCATAGACTCCAGGTGGCCTCTGCTTCTTGATTCTCATCATGATTATGCAACTCACTCACAGTAAGCAGCACCTTCAATTCACATTTACATTTATGTTCAAAGCATTCTGCCTCTTCCCTCATCTTCCCTTCTTGTGACAGCTATTTGATAAAATCTGTGTCTACTGTACCTCGTTTTTTAGTTTATTCACTCAGAGTTGCCTACCTGGTCAGTTACTGTTGACATCGAGGTGAAACGTGTCCCCTCAGCACAGAAACCAGGTAAATGGCTTGTAGCATATTTATGGCTCAACATATTTATAAGGACAGTGCAATTAGCTATGGATAACACATGGAGGTGGTAAAGGGGGAATCTTTGTAGAGTGGGTGACTAAGGAGTTGAGAAGATTGCCTTAGCAGAAGACGCATCTGTCACTCCTCTGTTCCTAAATTGATACCTACTCTTTACACATATTGGGAGTCAAGTCTGAGAGCATAAGTCCCCCAGTTTCAGACTCAAGCATTTATCTCAAAGGCCCTTCAAGGGCCTTTCCACAGATAAACTCCCCCCTCTCTCGTCCCCGTGATGAAGAGAAAGGAAAACAGAAAACAGTTAAGGTATTCAAGACATGGAGCCCTCCAGAACAGCTAGAAGAACCATTGGCAACAGAGGTAATTGCTTGTCTCATGGTATAAAGATACCTACTGTGGGAATAGCAAATGGGAAGCTCACCCATGTAACTGGAAACCTCACAAGGCAATAACTGAGTAACAAGTTTTAGTTACATTGTATTCCTGTTGCAAGACATCACTGCCAGAGCTACTCATAAAAGACAGCATTAAATTGGACTCACGTTTTGTTTCCTGGGGTTGGAGATCAGGACTGCAGCAGGCACAGCTGAGAGCTCCCTTCTGAAAAGGAAGCACGAAGCAGAGTGCCCACTAGGAGCAGCAGCTGTTCAAAGTCCACCTCAGAGACACCTCCTCCAACAAGGCCATATATCCTAATGCTTTCCTCACATTTCCACCAAAGGGGACCAATGTTTCAAGCATGTGAGTCTATGAGGTCATTCTCATCCAAAGGCCACCAATG